GAGCTCAACAAAAATAGTAGAGAAAAACATCCTGTCAGCAAATGGAGTTTCTCACGATAAGAAAAGGAGCAGTCCCGAAAAAATGGACCTCGTCTCGCTTTTCCATTCACATTCACGCCTATTTTCCAGGTAGAATTCAAACAAAGCAGGTAGCAAAAGGTGAAAAAACTGTGCCCGGAGATCCAGACCTCCAGATAGGACACTTTTCTCTTATCCTTGCCAAAAATTAGACTGCAATCAAGGCAGCAAGGTCCTCGTTCTCCTCCAATGTCCTTGACCCACTTTCACTTTCACTTTTGGAATCTCGTTGAGATATCTCATAATGTCTTATCTTAATGAGCTCAGTGAGTAGAACAGAATGGCTGGCACCCTCCTGTTAAACTGAAATTAAATTATGGTAATTCTTGTTTTGGAGAGCCATTACATGGCTGAGCAATTCTTCCGCAGCCCTCGAAGAAAAGCAAAAAGCAAAGCATGCAGCTGTTGATTGCTCAAGTTCCAGTGGTGATCACATTTTCATGGCTCTATTTCTTAATTAAGCAGTTGATTTTCCTCGAACTTGAAACAAAAGGGTGCACTGTCAAAAACAAAGTGCAAGATAATGCAACCCAAACATTTTAGTTAAGAGCTGACCGAATATAATAATATTAAGAAACATTATCCATTACAATTTAGTTTGTACCATACTCAACTTTGGGATTTTTTGAACTATGATATAATATTTAATTTTGTATTGTGTATATTGTAGTGTAGTAGGTTTTCAGTGGGTGGAGTAGGGCCCGCTTTCCTAACCAACTTCAGCTACTCTGCGGCTAATGACAAGTTCGTCGAGGGTTCGGCTTAATTAATGTGCACTAAAGTCGCAGTCTAAAAAGCCACAACGAGCATTTCACATAGATAAAGGGGGAATATTGCTTAGTGGGCCACGTGCTGACCTGCGTTCGTCTTGGTCGCGTGCCCATCCAAAGCCCCGCCCCCAAGTTCAGCCGCCTCCCTCCCGACTTTATCCACCTGACCCTCTAGACCCTCTGGGTCTTCAAAATACTTTTTATTTTTGCCAAGATCAAACAGAGAGCACGCTTGATGGTCAATCAAGACAGTCAGCCGGCCGTTAAGCCGGCCTCAACTGTACTTTTGGTAACTCCCCTTTTTTTTGCCACAGCGACAACTCTGCTTAATCAGATAATAAGCTAATTACACGGGGGAAATATTCGGGAAATCATGGATTTGCTCTAAGTGGATGAAGTTATTAAAACTTGTTGGGGTCGCAGCAAAAATCGAAGAAAGAGATTGATGAGTGGAGCTGCCAGCGTGAGGGGTGCTTCAAAGAATTGCATTGCTTATCGTTCTTAAATTTATTTGACAAACCTGTCAACCCTACTCTTTAGAAAGCCGCTTCCCCGCGAAGCAATAATAAATTTAGCAAAGTCACATGTATAAATTATAGAAGAAAACGCATCGAAAAGGCATGCAACACGCACGATACGTCGCGCACATCTCTATTAGAGCGACGCAGAGCGATGCAACGTATACTCGTAAGTGTGTTGCATGTGGAGCAGCTGCAACAACTGTGAACTCGAACTCGTCTCGTCGCGGCTGCCTTCACGTTGTCTCTCGAGTATTTGTCAATTAGATTTTTAATTGCTGAAATATGAATGTAGGCGCAACAGCCACAAATGCCTTGACTTTGACGTTGACAGCGACAACAGCAACAGCAACTGCAGCAGCAACAGCAACAGCAACAGCAACAGCAAGGGTACAGCAGCAACATTCAGCATCTGCAGAAATCGCAGCCTGTTTTGCCTGTTTTGTTGCTGCTGCTGCTGCAGACGACGACGATTATTAAATGCAACTTAGATCAGATCAAAAGCAATAGCAACAGCAGCAACAACAACAACATCAGCGGGGACAGCAGCAACATTGGCGGCAGCAACGAACGCGATTAAATCGAAATTCTATGCGCCATTGACCGCTCCACCTCCTTCACCTCCTGCATCTTCTTCTCGGAGAGAAAAAAGAGGGGGAAAAAAAAAGAAGAAAATATAGAAAAAATAATCCCCTCCGTCTGGAAAAGATGGATCGCGTGCCAGGCGACTGCGACTAGTTGAAATATTGTTATTATGCTTCGGCTAAAAGTGAATGATTGCCGGGAAATCTGGGGGCCGACCAACCAACCGACCGATCCACCGTCCGACCGACCGACCGACTGACTAGACTGCCTGAGCCGCAGCTGCAGACGGAGAACTATAACGCGCAGCATTTGCAACATTTTCCCAAAACAGTTGCTGCACTTGCAACATGATGCATGCTGATAGACGACGATAGATTATCAGCAACGGGCTGCCAACAGCAAGCAGCAAGCAGCAAACAGCAAACAGCAACTGAAAATCGCGATTGGTGAAGGTTGTTCTTTGGTCGGCGGTCGGCATTTAATGGGTTATCAAACAGGCGATCAAAAAGCCAGAAATAGAATGCACAAGTGCGGCAGAAGCGGTTCAATGTCAATACAGGATTTAGCCATTAGAGCATGAATACTTGTTTAAGACAAATTAGTTGCGCAGCTCATTAAATGATTGAAAAACCTAGTATTAAATTACCAAGGGTTTCAATTTCTTTTTAGTAAATTCACACATAGTTTTAAGCGAGAAAGGAATCTAGGACTTAAGCTACTTAAACAGCAATTAAGGCAAAAACAGCGGCAATATCAACAATATCATCTCAAGCAGCAGCAGCACAGAAACATGGTAAGAACCGGTAGTAGTGATAAATTCATTAAGCAGACGACTTGTCTTTCCCCGCTTCCCCCCCCTAAAACCGCCTCTCTTCTTTTAGTTGGAGTCCTAATTAAAATTAGTACCAGATTACGCATACGCCACGTGTGGCGAGTCAGGAAGATAATAAGGATTAGAATTACGATGGGATTACGACTGGTTGTTCTAGCTTCTACAGTGCAACTCAAGACTCAAAAAAGAAGGCTTATCATATTGTGAGTACGAGTACGAGTTCGAGTAGCAATACGAGTATTTTTCACCCGTACTCGCATCGCTGATGTTTGCATAGAGTGCACTTACCGTTAACCGCGAGGAGGGATCAATGTGCGAGTCTGTTTATAAATATTTTCATTTGCCGCACGGCTGCTGTCTGAGTGACTCTGAAACGCTGACTTCTCCTCCCGATTTCCACTGGCAACGTGTCTCGTTCGCAGTTGCCACTCATGGCAAAAGTGGCCGCAGTTGTCGTGCCGCGAAAACCAACAGCGACAAACCAACACGGGGAAATTATTTTCCATGTTTTTATTCCTGAATGAAAAAACGAAACTTGATCGCAAACAATGCCCATTTTTCTAGGGTTTTCTGGGAGCCTATTGGCGGCTTCCTGGATTTTAACAAATTATTCATATTTGTAAATTTTATTTTGGTTATTTTTCATTAGTCAAAATTTGCTGTTCATATTGAGTTATATGTTCACGTTGCCTTCTCCTTTGTGAATGGATAGCTGGCTCAATAAATTGTTGTTAAGTAGAACAAAAACAACCAAGGGCCAAAGGCATTCGAAACATATGAATTCATATTAAAAAGGGGGAATGAAGTCTGTATTGAAATCGAATGAGAAACGACTGCGATACCCTGGAGTACGATGGGTATATTCGTGAGATTCAATCTCAATCGATATAATACCATATATTTGGAAAACCAAGAAGAAGGTAAACCCTATTTCAAACCCTATTTTACACCAGATTGCATTTTTTTCAGCTGGCATTCCCTGTCATTTTATGGTAATTACATTTTTGTGCGCCTCAAATGTGAAGAAAATGTTCATTTTATTTGTTCTCGACATCGATGATATTCTTTCTTCGCCCGCCTCCCGAGATTCGATTCATAATTCACCGATTTGTCATTTTGTATTTAAATATTTCAACTTGAGGCTGTCGGCGGCATTTGCATTTCAATTGACTCTCCGCTTGACCCACACGAGTGTTGAACTTTAGCGTGCGCCAAGCTCACCTGTGATCCCATACAACCTCCTCCCCCTCCATCCCCTCGACATCTTCTGGGTTTTTAACACCTTCCACTGCCTAAATAAACTTAAGAACGCTGCTAACAAGAATATCGGATGGGGGGGCAGCTCCGAACGGCAGATAAAGATATCAGTTTTCAATGAACATCAGAAAGCAGACGACAGTAAAGAGCAGAAAGCAGAGGCACCTGTTCTAAAGCTCTCGGGCATCGCCTGCCTTTTTGACACTTTCGAAAATTTGTTAGCGGCGATTTGCATAAGTTCACAGTAAATTCCGAAACTACCATAATCTCGAAGGGGGGGACGACGACTCAACTCGACTTCACAGCGACACATCTCCATTCCGCGGCCCATCTCAATCCTAATCGCTAATAAATACAGACTCGTATTTCAAAATGATTTGAATATTTTTGAAAGGCCTTCCCTTTTTCCACCCGTGGCGTTTGTTTTGTCCGAAATCAAAACATTTCCCGCTGCCCAGCAAGCCGAAGAAAAGCTGTAATATTTCACACCTTTCCCCCGAGGAACATGCATTTCGGAGTTATGGGCTCTTGAAGACGATCCGGCGATCGCCTTACTTCGATTTCGGTCCAACAACTTAATCACAGTCCAGTCCCTCGCGACATATGTAAATTTTCGTTGATCGAAATACTATATTCTTTCCGAGGAAGGGCAAACATTGCGTTAGCCTTATGTGGAGTTAAGAGAGCTGCTTGCTCTCGTAATTTCCACGGATTTCTCACGATCTCTGCTCGAGCATTATTCACATCTCCACATCTATTGACTTGTACTAATACTAACTTTTGATTCGAGGCCCAGCACAAAACTATATACTCAATTAAAATTTCTGGCAGCTATACCATTATATTCAAGATGCGAAAAAAAGAGTAATAACTCTTTTATCAATCTGTCGCATGTACATATGTACATATATGTATATAGAAGTAAAATAATTTCGGAAAATAAAAATAAAAAGGACTTACCTGTTCTTTTCCGGGTTTTGGGGAATATTGTTTATGTTATTATGTTTCCGTGTGTAATTTTTAATGGTTTATTGATTGCAGTTCCATGGGAGATGATGTTGCTAAAAAGAGAGAAAAGAAAAACAAATTGATTAATTAGCTAAACCTTTTGATTTCAAAAAGTATATATTTTATAGGTTTTCTTTGTGAAATTTACAGCTTTGCCATTTAGCTTTTATACTTTTATAATGGATGAAATCGCTTATACTCAAGGCTGTCATTTATTAAGACCATTCTTCGAGGCGATCTTGGAACATTTCGCCAGAATTCTCTTTGACCACATATCTATAACTTTTAATATAATTCACACTCGATCTGAAACGGACAACAGATCGTGGATGACGATGCTAATGATGATGTTTAGTGGTTCTTTCTTTCAATTGTTATCGCCTTGGCTAAACCTTTCGTTTTGATTCGCTGCTGCCATTCTATTGATCAACATTTACAATCGAGTTTGAATTCATTTATATATTTTTTTTTTTTTGCGACCAGGTAGCCAGGTGTCTGCCAGAATTGATACAACTTCACGCTTCGCGTTTAGCCAGCGAAAAAAAAAATGATAATAAACAAAAACTATTCACGGGCAAAATAAATAAATAAACGTGATAAATAAAAAAGAGATTGTCAACGCGAACCACAATGATGATGATGATGATGATGTTGCGATCCCTTGGGTCCAAAAGATGTTAAATAAATTAAAGCATTTGATGGCATTCCGGCATTATGCTAAGTTAATGGGACAGAACATTAAGACACATGACGATTTATGCGGATTACGAAAGAGAATAATGAATTCATTGAGGAGAATCGGAGAAATTGCCTCGTTTTTACTCAAAATACTTGTCGAATTTCGAGCACCGTTAATTGTTTTTTGAAAATATCTCAACTAATTTGGTAACGGTTTTAATGGTTGACTTTGTTTTAGCCACGAGTTCTGGGAGATATCGACAAATCTCAAAAAAAAAATTCGCATCTTTTGTGTATTGATTTAGATTGCCAGACAATAGTCCTGAAATTTTTATTGTCTAAACGCTGGCAAAAGAACATAAGACAGATGTGAATAAAAAAAACGAAACAGCCAGCGAAATAATAACAATAAAATTGAACAATGGCCAGCCATAAATTTTTATTATATTTTACCGATAGTTTTGTCTTTAGTTTAAAGTGGCGTCTATCCATCTCTTTCTATCCGCCGGCTTGAGGTATGTTTCTTTACATTTGTTTTTTTTGCTGATCTGTTTTGCAAATAGGAAGCTGCTGAACTAGCAACAACAAAATATGTCATTGCATACAAAATTTGATTTCATTGTTATCAGGTTCTGTTTTTATTTAGTTTTTTTTTTTTGTTGAGGCTATCATTGGATTGATTGGGTTATTGAACCTTTTCGCTTGCGAGAGAGAGAGGGTCGCTCAATGGGAATACTTATAAAAGGATTGCCACCTAATCGCATCGGAATTAATCCGATTCAAACTAATCCCATCCAATCGCATCCGTTCCACCTTATTCGCAGTTTACGCGAGATATTCACTTTGTCTCTCGGCTTCTTGTTAACGCTTGATGAAGAGCCATTTTAGCCAGATATCTTGGCGGTTTTTCAATTGTTCATGTTGAGTAGCTTATAAAGTTTAGCTTACAGGTTTACATTTAATAAATTCCGTGCAATATTTTTATGCAGCTGTATATTTCAGTAGTTAAATAAATATGGTTAAAATCTTTTTATTCTTAATGGGAATTCCCATCTGGAAAAGAGTGAATAATCAGCGTAATTCTGGTCGGGAAAATTGAAAACCCCTTCAATCCGCATCTCGGTTCCTCTGGGATTGTCTTCGGATGTCTATGAGTGTGTCTCCTTAGGATTTGTGGCGCTCCGGCAAAATGTGTGGCTAATTGTTGTCTCTAAACTGTTGTTGGCATGCGTTTGACAGTCAGTCAGGAGCGGCCTTCTCGGACCAACGGGCCAACTACTGGCCAACTGGCCAACTGGCTGGCACTTCTGCCAACATAACTGCTCAACAGTTAGCCACGCCCCCTTCGCCTTTACGTGTGCAGGTTTCTGGCCGCCTCCTTTGGCAAATTTATTTTGATTGAGTTATTAAAATACTTGTTTACACAAGCTCAACAACAAGGCGGTGTAACGCAAAAAAAAAAAAAACCAAACCGAAATCATCGAAATTATGAACTAATATCGCTGGAAGAGGAAGAGCCGGGTGATTTTATCACTTATTTTCATCTCCCGGGCGATAATTATAAATGTTTTTATTCGATTTTACAACTCCGCGACTTTGTGAGACTCTGTTTATCTCGCACTTCCGTTTCCGCATAAAAAAGAGAGGATGCTGGCGGGAGGGCGGGCAGGGGTTCAGTTTTTCTTGTCGGTGCCTTTAAATTAGTTAGAAATTAGCTGCGAATTAAAACGCCAGGTAATAAGCACTTAGCAGCACCGAAAGAAAAATATGCAATTGGAGTTTATTCCATATGTCAAATTATATAATGCTAATTATGCATTTTTTTTAAACCAATTTATAATTGTTTTAAAATTGAATTTAACTCCAAGTTAGAAAAGTTTATGGTAATTTTGTGGTAATTTTCTCCACGTGCATCCACACGAAACATTTAGCGCTGCATTACATAAAATTGACATTGATCGACGACTTCGGATCGCATTGAATGCGATAAATAAAGTGGATAGCTGCGAGATTACGGCGCTCCAGCCGCCGACATCCGCCGCATCTCATTTGGCGACACATTTGCATGATTATGAGCTCGGTTCCGGCCACGCAGCCCATCGACTTTACTTTGTATCTCGACTCTTAAAGTCCACTCCAAGATCGATTTTTAACGATTGCGGAGAGCAGCGGCGACGATACAAATTGTTTGCATATCTGTTTGCAATTATTTATTTATGCGCCCGGTTGGCTAATCAATCGCTAAATGCATTAACTGTTGCTCGAACCATGCCAAATCGATGGGCGACACTCTTCACTCTCTACACTTCACTCGCTCCGTAACGCAATTCAACATACGTATGGTACTTACGTAAAGCCCCTCATCCGCTTCGCAATCGGAAGAACAAGCATCTTGGATGGATGGATGGTTGGATGGATGGAACAAATCCGAGTTGTTTGCCCACAATTAACGGAGAATTTCCAACAGCGAGGGAAAAGTGCAGGGAAATGTGTCAAATGACTCCTTAGCAGAATGCTGCGACTAATTAGTTGTTAAACGGAACTTGTCGGCGACAAATCTGCATTTATTTAATTGAAATGAATGCTGGAAGAGGTCTATCTACGTATATCTATATAGGTTAGGCGTGTTCTTTAAAGTATCAGTTATATTGAGACAAACTAATAATAATGAAAATAAGGAACAAAGTAATCTCGGAGTGGTTTTATATGATTTAGCAAAAAAAAACATATACTGAATGCTTGTAAAAATCTTGCAATCTTTGGAAAAAGAGAACAGATCGAGTTTCTTGTCATTGATGAGCAAGGCTTCTGGTTTTATCCGACTTTGGCTGCCAGTCGGCATTCATTTCTACTTGATTTTTGTCGTCGCTGCCCTTCGTCGTCGGTTTTTTTTATCGGTTCGGAGGGTTGTTCGATCGCGTTGGTCTTTAATGTGGATTTTATGGAGCGCCACAGCGCTAAATTCTTTTTCATTCGCTGCGAGATGACTTATTTTGCAAACAATAAAACAATAAATCAATCAGTTATAAGTTAAACTCTGCGACAAGAGCAATCAAAAAGAAAATAAAGCTTAACAGCACAAAAGAAATGAAAAGGCAAAAAACCGAACATTTTAATACGTACAAGTTGTGTCCATTTTTGGGAAGCCGAACGGTAGAGTTTGCCGACTGTGTATGTGAATGATGTATGTATCTATAGCATAAGTAATGTACAATTTATTTATTTCTTTTAATGCGATTGACAGAGGCGGTGAGTGAAAAAAAAAACAAATTTTTTTTTTGTTTTTTCTAGCAATATTTAAGCACAGTTTTTTTTAATAGTTTTTCTTGGGCATTTCCAGCTCTTCTTAGTTTTCTCTAGTCCATTGCCCATCTACGATTTAATTTGAAATTAATTTTGGACCTAAGTTCGCAGCCAAAAAGGCAACCCATGATTTTATATTTATCCCTCTGCGACGCCCCTGCCTGCTGCATATTATATGCATTATAATTTGTCAGACTGAAGCATCAGGATCGATGAACAACAGCGCAAAACCCCGCCGCAGAGTAAACAATAAACAAAAGATGCTGGCCAAGATGGTGGGGCATCGGGCATGGGGAATCGGGAATCGAGAATCGGACACCGGGCATTGCATTCAACTGCAATTTGCTGAACGTTGTTCGCCTGTCTCGTTCTCCGGCTGTTTTTGGATTTTAGCCAAAAGCCAAAAGCAAAAAAAAAAAAAAAAAAAATACGCCTCTGCCTTGGCGCCAAAGTGGGTCACTCGGCAGCAACAACAACAACAACAATAAAGCCAACAATAGCTGCCAATTTGGGCGCACAGAATTCCTGGGCTGACAGGCGTCGACTGGGACTCGGATTCGGGCACCGCTTCGGATTCGGATTCAGTATCGCACTGCGATGGTGGCGACTTCAAATTGGCCGCCTTACGCATGCCAATTAGGCGAAAAGAGAGTTGGGCCAAGATCCCCCCACCCACTGCTCCAAAGTCCCTTTTGAAAAAGTAGAAAAGAAATACTTTGTAGGGTATTCTATAATCTACAAAGAACGTATTAAATCTCTAATTCGCTATTTAATTTAATCAGATATTTTGAGGATGTCTTAAAGCTTTGATATTCTAATTTCGAAAACGAAAGAAAATATTAAACTAAACATTTTGACGTTTTGCTGGTCTTTAAAGACAATGGAAAACGTTTCTTTTGCTATTAATTTTTAACGACTCCCCAAACAGACTCGATTGATATGAGCTTTGTCTCATGGCTCTTTTGTTTATCATCGGCTATTGGGGCCAGAGACCGAGATGCGATTGGATCTTGCTTGCGATTGGATTTCGCGATCTGTGTTCCCGATTTTCATGCCAAATTAATGCGATTTT